GAGGAGAAGATACAGGTAACCTCTGCACCCACGACGCAATGATATAGGTAATCTCTGAATCCACGACGCAATGACACGGGTCAGCCCCTGAGCGGTCTGTCCCTCTCCAGCCATGCAGCAAACTGATGATGATGGCTAAACCATCGAAAGCTGCTGTTGAAATAAATATTATTGTTAGCAATGCCATATCCTATAATTATTTCATTCACGCAACAGTTTGCGTCACAATATTAACAGAAAATTTAGCCCTTAAACCGTACTCATTCAAGCTGTGGGCTAACGCTAACCTGGGGTTGCGACCTGCCTTCTTTCTTTATATGGGAGATGCTGCTAATGGGAGAAAATGAGAAAGCAAATTATATTCAATTACAAATTTATTTAGATTTCCTTCGAAACATTTCAAACATATTTTTAAATTTCTTTTAGTTTTGACAAGTAGAGTGTAAGCAAATAGTGTAATGGCGGCCGCCATATTTTTTTTGAAACTTTTTTTTAATGCCGGGTATCTTGTTTTTTGAAACATTTTAAATGCCAGCGGCTTTATTATTTTGAAGTATTTAAAAGCCGGCGTCGTCATTATTTTGAAATTTCGTTACTATTATTTAAAACATTTTGAATGTTGGAGACCTTATTATGTGGAAATATTTTAAATACCGGTTCCCTCATTATTTTAAAACTTTTTGAATGCCGACGGTCTTATTGTTTTAAAACATTTTAAATACTGACGTCCTTCGTACTTTGAAACATTTGAAATACCGGTAGCCTTATTATTTGGAAACATTTTAAATACTGGCAGGCTTATTACATTTTTAGATACCGGTGGCCTCATACGTATTTAGAAACTCTTTGAATGCCGTCGGCCTTATTATTTTTAAAACATTTTAAATACCGGCGGCTTTATGATTTTGAAGCATATTAAATGCAGAAAGCCTTATTATTTTGAAACATTTTAAATGCCGACTACCTTATTATTTTGAAACCATTTTAAATTTCGGCAGTCTAATTATTTTGTTAAAATTTAAATACTGGTGGCCTTATTATTTCGAAACATTTTACATGCCGATGGCCTACATTTTGAAGAGAAAAAAATAAATACCGGCATCTTTATTATTTTGAAACATGTTTAATGCCGGCAGTCTTACTATATTGAAACTCTACGAATGCCGATTGCCTCATTATTTTGAAACATTTTAAATACCAGTGGCCTTATTATTTTGAAACATTTTAAACGCAGCCGGCCTCATTATTTTGTAAACATTTTAAATGCCGGCAGCCTTATTATTTTGAAACTTTTCGAATGCCGGTGGCTTCATTATTTTGAAATATTTTAAACGCCGCCGGCCTTATTATTTTCTAAACATTTTAACTTCCGGCAGTCTTATTATTTTGAAACTTTCGAATGCCGTCGGCCTCATTATTTTGAAACTTTTCGAAGGCCGTCGGCCTCCTTATTTTGAAACATTTTAAATACCAGTGGCCTTATAATTTTGAAACATTTTAAACCCTGCCGGCCCTATTATTTTGTTAATATTTTAAATACTGACAGCCTTAATATTTTCAAACATTTTACATGCCAGTGGCCTTAATATTTTCAAACATTTTACATGACAGTGGCCTTAATATTTTCAAACATTTTACATGCCAGTGGCCTTAATATTTCGAAACATTTTACGTGCCAGTGGCCTTAATATGTAGAAACAGTTTACGTGCCAGTGGTCTTAATATTTAGAAACAGTTTACGTGCCAGAGGCCTTAATATTTAGAAACATTTTACGTGCCAGTGGCCTTAATATGTAGAAACATTTTACATGCCAGAGGCCTTAATATTTCGAAACATTTTACGTGCCAGTGGCCTTAATATGTAGAAACATTTTACATGCCAGTGGCCTTAATATTTAGAAACATTTTACATGCCAGAGGCCTTAATATGTAGAAACAGTTTACGTGCCAGAGGCCTTAATATTTAGAAACATTTTACATGCCGGTGGCCTTAATATTTAGAAACATTTTACGTGCCAGTGGCCTTAATATTTTGAAACTGTTTACGTGCCAATGGCCTTAATATGTAGAAACAGTTTACATGCCGGTGGCCTTAATATTTTCAAACATTTGACATGCCGGTGGCCTTAATATTTAGAAACAGTTTACGTGTCAGAGGCCTTAATATGTAGAAAGAGTTTACGTGCCAGAGGCCTTATTGTGTTGGGACGTGTCTGCTGCGCAGGCGGGCATCGACGAGGCGCGCCGCGATTCGCGCGCGCGGGGCAAGGTGAGCATGGGGCGGTCGGAGGCGCCGGGCGCGCTCTACTGCCTCAAGTG